CGTTTACGATATGATATGATGTTTTATAACATAATTTAAATTTATACAACCACATAGTCTAAAACCAGTTGCTCTTCACTTTAATTTGCAATGATATCGTTTTTGTCTTTTCTGTTAACACAAGCTCAATTGATGGTATTTGCTGGTGTATATGTCCAAGCGTTTTCTCTTTGAACACCTAAATTCTTTGAAGTATCCTGAAAGTATCTTCAAAAGCATCCAACTTTTTTTAACATCTTGGTATGTCTGACAGCCAAATTTCTCTACAAATTTTTGCTTACTTTTCTCCCTAATTTTCTTCTTTCCTTCTACAGTTATTTTCAGTGCTCACACAAGAAAATTAATGTTTTATGAATGCTAGACATCCATAAATTTTGCATTCTTGTCAATTTTTTTAAAATATCAATTACATGAATTGCGTTTCAAAGTTTAATTTACATGGAGGTTATAACTAAAGTTCCACATTGAAATGGTCATACAAGGAACACTACCGGACCAAATGTTATCACACTTGGGAACCATGTAAAGGAGGTTATGGGAATTTATTTTCCGCGGAAAAAAAACAGTTCAAAAACTCACCAAAAGGGAAAAATTGCACTGTATGCAATATTGTTAAAAGAAATAAGACATGAAAACATCGGTTTAAAATGTGTTTAATCGTTTCCGAAATGTCTTATAAATAAAGCATGTTCAATGTAACGTCCAGTATTTTCCAAAAGCAAATTAAATCCTGTTACTGCATCCTCAACAGCAGCTCTTAGCATATCAGGAGGAATGTTACGGACATGTTGGTGTATCACATTTTTCATATCTGCCAAATTGTTTAGATTATCACCATAAACAGTGCTTTTGAGTTAACCTCATAGCTAAAAGTCACAGAGGTTTGTGATCTGGTGGGAAGAGGGGAAGTGTTGGCCTATAAGACGTTCATTCGTGAAATGTTTCCTAAGTAACTGTGCTGTGGGGCCCAGCTTTGCATAAAATTCGTAGTATCTAAAATGCCATGTTACTGCAGTTCATGTATCACGAAACATTTTAACATTGACTCTAAGCGAGCTGCAATCACAGTAGTCCCGCTGTCGACTGCTATTCAGAGAAAAATGGTTCAGTTATGAAACTAGCTGTCATTCCACACCCTGGTGTGGAATGACTGCTATGCAATCGAATGTGGTAGGAGAATGCAATGGAACTAGGTAGATAACATGAGGGATGTCTTTGGCCCAAATCGATTAAACGCGTTTTGAATCAGTATCTTCATGTTTTAAGGCCAAATTCAGGCTTCAAAAATTACGAACTAGCAATCTGTAAGAAAACGATTTCCAGATTGTACCCACTTGTGCGAGTGATTTGCGATATCACATTTTCTAATCCCTAATTTGTGGTTTTCACGGATGAATTTCTCCCTTACACAGATGGCGCACTCGACTTTTATCGAATTTAATGCCCTTAAATGGTAATTTGCTTACTTCAAAGTTTCTTAAGGGTATACAACATATTAAAAGCGTGTAACAAAAGATTAAGTTAGATTTCGACCCATATTTCGTTTAAATATATTGCATGCAGTGCTATTCCCCCCCTGGTGGTGAGGTTTTGAACTTTATTTTTTCGTGGAAAATAAATTCCCATGACCTTTACATGGTTACCAAGTTTGATAACATTTGATCCAGTAGTTTTCCTTCTCACCATTTCAAAGTGGAACTTTAACTATAATCACCATGCATATTGTTAAATTTTAATTTGAAGCTATGCGTTATATGTATACCATGCGTAAGATTTTCTCTTTTATGGAAAAAATAAAGAATCGAAGCAAATATACTTAGGATAATGGACCAAAACTGTAAAAATTTTCCCTCCCTCCGAAAATAAAATATTGAAACTTCGACCTTGAATTTATTGGATTATCCAAAATATTCAATTTGACTTATTTTCTAAGTCCTAGTTCCGACAACAATTCCGAATTACTGAAGCTGAAGTAAAAGGTTTAGCATATATTTACTGTATGTTAATAAAGTAATCAGAGTGTAATAAAAATAGGTTATAGAATTTACGCTGATACACAACTTTTTGTCTGAATGCACATGTAATGGAAGAGAAGGCTTGTAAAGATCTGTTTTTGACATGCCTCTAAAAGTAGATGTCATACTCCTTTTGTCAAAAACTAAAAGTAGATGTCACCTTTTGCCAGATGTCATACTTGAATGTCAAAAAACTTTCATTTGAGAGGCAACTTTAGTTTTGGGGGAAAAAAAAAAAATCACAAGAAGACAAATTTGAAGAACATGCAGGACGATTGAGTACACATACTTATTTTCGGAATACAAGCAGTTCTCCGACTGGTTATTGAAAAATGAAAAGATGCCTTGTCATGCAATACAAAACATTTGGAATACGTTTTCTGACTGAATAACGTAAGATTAAAAGTCATCTGCTTAATTCACAGCCATTTACAAGTCAACTACTCGGGCAATTGTAGAATAGTTTTGATTCTGAGCTTGTAAGAAAAACCTAATCTCACTGGATTTAAACACTTCTTTAATCTACCGAGAACATTCCTTCTTTAGCTCATATTCCAAGAATATTAAGTGAATACAGTTATTTCAAAACAAATTGAATATTCATTTGCACTAGCTTGGTAGCTTGCACGGCTTGGTAGCTTACTAACGAGTTAACAAAACTTAAATTCTGCTTTTTGTGTCTAAGAATACAACAATATTTTAAATATTTACAAATAAAATATTAAATTGGAGCCTCACCAGTTGCCTAGCATTTGAAGATTGTTAAATACTAATTGTTTGTTGCAAAGTCTAACCCAGGCTGCATGGTTGGTTTTCGTAATCTACGAAAACCAACCAGTTTTTTTTTCAAGGTTCTCTTTACAAAGGTTCTCTATGAAAGCATCTTAACCAAATAGCTCCCATGTTCTTTCTATGTTCAAATATCCAACTAACCTAGTTTAAGCGCAATGTAGCTTGCCAATCGGGAGTAACATGAAAGATACGGCGCTAATAATTGAATTGCTGTTATGGTACGCTGTTTCTAAACTTAAATGGTCATTCCTTAATTAAATATAATTGATTTGTAACTTCTACTAGAGCTGAGATGGTAAAAATTGAAGTGCAAATAAATAATATCGTGTGTAGTCTTGATTAATATAAAATTAGAAATATTTGCATTCTCAGACATAAAGTTTTTTGAAATATTTGCAATTATTTTATAAAGAAGGATTTATTAATAACCGTAATAATTACTTATTATATTACTGATGATTAGAATTCAGTTCTTGACAATTACATTCTAAAATAGAATTCTAAGGATATAATGAAAATATGCTACGCATAAAAATACATTTTAGGATAAAAAATGAATTGATTTTTTTTTATGTTTAAAAATTTCCTAAATACATTTAACCTTTTACATGCCAATGTTCCATAAATGGAACATTGAATTTAAAATTTTATAAAAAACACAATTTTATTAATATTGCTTTGTATAAATTATTACATGGAGAGTAAATATGGATTGATGTTTTAGTAGCAATATAATTCTTCTGAAAGAAAAATTAATCTTGATAAAAAATTCATTATTTCACCTTTTTTCCTTCTTTTCTAAGAGCAAAATTTAGAAATTCAGATAAAATAAAAAATTCAACAAATGCTTTTAAAACTCAAAAATTTTTGAATTTTTGAAGCAATAGATATTGAATGTATTTTTCTTGACTTAATCCCATTTTAAAATCATAGCATAATAATGTTCTCATATCAAATCTATTTTTTTCTACACTAAACTACTAGCTATTAGCAAAAAAAAAATTTTTCTGCCAGGCTAAAATAGTTTATATTTTCAAATCCAGCCATTATTTTTCTTTTTTCTGCCACGTATCATCTGCAAGTATTTCAAAATTTTCATTGTGGCATCCGTATGATTGTTGACTTCATAGGACTTGTAGCCCCTCTAGCAGTAAATTAAGTCAGTAATACACTCTTGAGAACAAAATCAGTCAAAATTTCCAATTATAAATTTTATATTCTCTATTTAGTTTAAAAACATGTTGTTTGTATATGACTTATACACAAATTATAATAACTGATAAGCAAAAAACAAGAAGCATGTGGATATGTAAATTACTAAAGGAAACAATGAGAAATATAATTACAAAAATAGCAATTAACCTAACTTTCATTTAATTAGAACTATACTTTCTACATTAATAAATTAATGCTGTATAAAATTGAAGACATATATAAAGTTACATTACTAAAGCAGTGTTTGAAAGGTATACAAAACATATCTTTAACAACTTTCCTAGCAATCTAACTACACTGGAAATAGTTTGCTTTGTCAGATGACTTTCTGGATTGAGGAATACAGCTTTGCGGATGAAGCACTGTAATAATAATTATTATGCAGTAAATTGTCATCTAAAATATAATACCCTTTATTTAAGTTTTCTGTTTTACTACCCTAACTTGGTAACAACACTTAACCATTTCATTTTGCATATTTTATATGCATGTCTGTATTTTCTTCCATAAAGCCTTCAGCAAAATAATTTACACCTACCTTTATCTGCAATTTTTATGACACATTTATTGTTTGATATAAACAGAATAATTCTAAATACATTATAATCAGCTTATTAATTAAAATTAGCTTTTATTTTTTTTAATGTTTCTCATCTTTTGCTTCAAAAATTCTTCAGCAGTAAATAAAATATTCACATATTTAACAAATTAGTATATTTCATTTTTAACTTTATGCTGTGTTGTGTTTTCACACTAAACAATAAATAGATATTTGTCAAATAATGAAAGAAAGATGCTGGTTACTATTTTCTCAAATTTAAACTAAATTTTAACCAGTGGTATAACTCCACACATGAAATGAGAAAAACATTTGTTTCTTTCAGTTGATAAAAATAAATAGCATTAACAAAACTGAGTAAATTAAATATACAACTTGACTGAAAAATATACTAATAACAATATGCAATAAATTAATACCTGTTTAAGATTAGAAGAATAAAACATCAAACCACACAACATTTCAGGAAGAGCTAGAGGTAATATTGTCATCCTATGACTATATAAAGATAAAATTTTCACTGCTTTATCTTGCAAACTATGATCAACAAAAATATTTGACAGACGTAATAAGTTGCATACAGCAACAGAATTAGGATTAGGCTCAGCACCATCTTGATCTAAAAAATATAATAAAAGTAAATTAGTTTACTATAATATAAGAAAGCAGTTATTCTCTCCAAAAGTACTATAGTGCAAGCGATAAACTTACATATTTTAAATTGTATTAAACATAATGTAATTGTAGTTATTAAATTAGCAAAATTATTCTGCAATAGAAATTTCATTTTATAAGAAATTATTGATAATTGTGCTAGAAAGTAATTTGAAAATTACAGCCTATGCTTTACTAATTATTTACCTAAAAGTGAAACCCCTTCTTGATCAGATTTTTTCCCCCGAATTTCTGACCCCCAAAAGCATTCATTTTAATTGCTGAAAATTTATATATGTTCTACCCTAAATTTAAAAAATGCAATATATTTTTGACAGTAAGCAGTTTTTAATGGACCTATGGGTGGTCAAATAAGTGATATCCCATCCACTAATCACTAGTTTTCTCTGCAATGCACTCAAGTTTTAAATTTAAAAAAAATACAATGTGACACTATATTTATTAACGCTATCATTTTGATGTATTTAATATAAATATCTACATAAAAATTATTATTAAAATTATGTAAAAAATCCTTTAGAAAATGGTTTTTTAACTTTACCTTTTAAACAGCTTTACAGCCTGCTTTGGATATCAGAGCATAAAAACCACATTTATCACAAAACCAAAATCATTTATTTAATAAAAAAAATCAAAATTTTCTTTGCTTACTTTATCAAAAAAACATTCGCTATGAATATCAAAAATACCTTGAATGGTCTTTTAGTTGAAATTCTAACAGATATCACACGAGTATTCAATAACAGATACTAAAGGTGGGAAATCTCACTCAAAAAATTGTGAAGGAACTAGGTCTAGTCATGCTATCTCTTGGCAATATTTCAGAAATACAAAAATAATTGCAGAATTTAAAGTGACGTATGAGTGAGTAGTGAAGAATTCAGTTTCAACGATGGAATTTTTCACTTTGTTGCATGGCATGCAATGCCAACGGGCACAAAAACACTCCGCATGCAGATTATTCTACTTTTTAAATGCAATTACTTATTTATTGCATTTTTTAATAGTTGTAAATTTTATTCTAATTTTTGTATCCTGATGTTATATAATTTTATCACCAATATTGTTTTTTTCCCACTCAGCAAAGATCAGGCAAGGTCCTATGATGAGTTCATTTATTTTTCAGTGAGAGAGAAATTTTGCTTCATTTCTTTTTGAGGGTAAATGGCTTTTATTTATAAAGCTGCCCTCGAGCCTGGTATATGCTAATTTTTAGAAGGATAGTGTTTTTTTTTTTTTTTTATACTTACAGTATATGTTGGTCATATAACTAATTTTTATAACAAAAAATTTATTTTAATATTTTTTTAGATGGCTCTGAATGAACTTATTACATAGTTGTTAAATGATAATATAATGTGCTCTGTCTTCCTTCTAACACTTATTCTTACAGTCTGATAGCACTTTTCAATTTCACATTTATATAGTTTTTTTTTTTTTTTTTTTTTTTTTTTTTTTTTTTTTAAGACATAGAGTTTCAGTGTATAGGAATTAGAACATTACTATAATCTGTAACTTTAAAAGAAGAATTTCAGGATCATCTTCCATTGCTTGATTTGTCTTATAACCATGGAAATAACAGCCGTGGAAAAAAGGTCAAGTTGCTAATTCCCTTCCCCCACAAACTTCCTTTCCATTTAGCGTGTTTCACTCCACGAAAAAAGCACATGAGTGAAGACTCACTTGAACTACTTTTTGAGATCAAATGAAGAAAATATATTATGATAGGTGATGATGATACAAGTTATGCTCCCAAATGGGGAGAGGTTGGAACCTGTGGAGCAACTGCCCTTGAAAATGAAAGTGATTAAGGTGTACCCTCCGACGTTACTTTACCCCACACCCGCTAACTGGAACTGCACTCGATCCAAAGGAAGAGAAACTTCTCTCCTTGTATGATTCATTCTTATGCGTTCTGCCATGGAGAGCTGGTAACACTTGTACCACTGCTAGATATCTTTTTCCTCTCATACCTAATAAATATGTTTTTTGTGTACTACTAATAATGGTTGTGCTTCTTATATATAATAAGATGGATTACCCATTAATAAGGTAAGAACTTTTACTCTGTTTTATTTATTCGCTCATCTCGAATAAGCTGCATTCCAATAGTAAACAAATGAACAACACAAACCTTCATTTGATTAGGAGACTGATTGCATGTTTACTTCAAACCAAGAGCATAAAACATAGTGAGATAAGCTATTACGAATAAAAATAAAAACAGAAAATATACTCTGCCATAAATTATCACTGGATAATCCAAAGGAGAAAAGCCAAGCCTGTTTTCAAAAAGTGAAACAAAACTAACATAGTACAGCGCATTCAAAAAACAAAAGCAGAAATGGCTACTAGCTGTGAAAATATTCGATTATGAAACTATACAATAACAACTATTAACTATGGAAATACAAACCTGAAATGATTCTCAAAAAAAGAAAATCTATGGGATTTAATCGCAAATGATACACCAAAAGAAATCAACGCTGAGTGGATAAAACGAGATGAACAAGCACAAGCTACCATAAGTTTACTTGTAGAAGATAACCAAATCATACACATAAGAAAACAACTAAAGAGACATAAAACAACAACTAAAGAGATATGAAAATTCATGAAAGAAAAAAATCTTTCCAGTAAACATTTCCTTCTCAGAAAGCTATTTACGTTAAAATCGGAAAATGAATACAAGCTCAAAGAACACATCAACAAAATGCTCGAAATTGTAGAAAAACAGCAAGAAATTGGTGAAAATATAAAAGACAGTTACATTACAGCACTCTTACTAAGCGGCTTAACAAAAAGCTACAAAAGTCTTATTGCAGCTTTAGAAGCATGCCCAGAAGAAGAAAACATTGGAATATGAAAAAACGAAACTCACTGACAAATGCTTAAGAAGAAAAGAAGGCATGCGAACAGAAGGAACAACCACCTTCAAAACAAATTTTAAGACAAAATTCAAGCATTTCAATCAAAAAAGATGCAAGTATTGCAAAAAAAATAGGAAGCTTAGAACTCAAACCAGTCAACTGATTCAGGAGCCGCTTGTCATATGACTGATAACATAAGCTTTTTCCCGAAATTAGACAGAAGCACAACTGAGCAAATAGCAATTGCTAACGGTACTTAGATGAAGTCCATAGGCATTGGAAAAGGATACTTATACTGCACAGATGACGACATATCAAAATAAAAGTAAGACTCATAGACATTCTATACATTCTTGACCTAGATGGAGGATTAATATCTGTAGGAAAAATTACAAAGGGTTTCATTTGAATTTGAAGAAGATATTTTCAGAATACAGAAAAAAATTTATATACCATAATTGAATCACAAAGAAAAAAAGCCAAAATTGCAACTGCAAATGGAAATGAAAATAGCATAGATCTTTGGCATAGAAGACTAAAAGAAATTATGAAACAATCAAAATGCTAAAGAATGATGACCTCGCAACCGGAATACAGATCAACCAAGAACCTAAAAAGGAAAAAGAATGTGAACACTGTATCAGAAGCAAAATGTCTGAATTTCTGTATCCCAAGCTAAACAACTATAGAGCAAAATCAGTTGAGACACAATGAGAATCATTAGCTACAAAAGATGATGCTATCTCCAAGTTAACCCTCAAGCTGCTCATCCCGTGATTTCCACGGGCAACTCAAATGTAGCGAAATCTGCTCCTCCCGCAAGCATATGTTTTTCTTCCTTTATTGAGGAGTGCGGCCCGTTTCTCCCCCCCCCCCGTTTAACCATTAAAATAAATTATATACAGTATTAGACGTTTAATTTACATTTTGGCCAAAAGATATCGTTAGTTGTCCGTTAAATTGCAGCATTTTTGAAGGCACATGATATTACCACTCAGAAATGGCTTCTAGAAAACGTTCAGCGATTATCTTGATTACTTAATTAAATTATTGAATTATTAATTAGATTTATTGATTAGATTAATAATTACATTGATCATTAATTAGATTTATTGAATATGGTGCCTTGAACCCTGTTTTGAACTCTATCATACTAAACTGCATTTCTAAGGTAGTTTTTCCTCAGTGCTTTATATTTTCTTAAATTTTATACATTTTGCTTTTTTATATTATGCAATAAATATAAATTAACTGTAATTCGACTGAATATGTATAGATTTAAAATATGCAAAGAAAAAAAAAAATTACGCAATTTTTGAAGCGATCTCGGTCTACAAATTGAGCAGTCAGGGGGTTAAAGAAATTTGTAACCATGGCAAAGAACAAATTTGGAAAGAAAGCCAAAAATTTTAAGAAGAGATAATGGAGGAGAATACACAAACAAAGAGATTGAAGAGTATTTAAAGGAAGAGGGAATTGAACATCAAACCTCCTCAACATATCCAACACAAGAGAATGGTAGAGATGAAAGAAAAAAAATTATATTTAATGGAAATGGTGAGATGCCTACTACTCAATTCAGGACTCAAAAGAGAATTTTGGGGTGAAGCCGTAATGACAGCCACCTATCTATAAAATAGGCTACCATTAAGGTCAATAGGAAAAACACTGTATGAGCTCTGGAATAATAACAATAAAAATGAACTTGAACCATATCAGAGTTTTCGGCAGCACAGCTTATTGCCTAGTTCCAAAGCAGAAAAGTAAACTAGATGTAAGAGCAGAAAATGGGAATTTTTGTTGGATACAGCGACCATATTAAAGGTTACAGAATTTACATGCCACACACAAACAGCGTTGTGATCAGAAGTGTAATATTCAATAAAACAAAAAGGAAGAAATGCCTCATCAATTAAATGATCAGGATGAGGAAAAATAATGGCCTCTTAAAGAAAACAAATTGCAAATTGAGAGAATCATGTCCAGATGCTACAATAGAGGAAGGAAATGAAACAGAAGAAACTCCCCTATTACTGACAAGATCACAGTAAACAATTAAGGGAGTCCCACCAAA